AAGAGGTGCAATTGAGTGGCCCCCTCGGTCACCCGACTTAAATCCTTTAGATTTCTTTCTCTGGGGGCACATTAAAAGCAAAGTTTACAGCACTCCACCTGATACCTTGGAAGATCTGCGAGGACGAATCATTAATGTATGTCGCGAAGTAACACCGCAAGTGCTCCAGAATGTTCGACAACGGTTTGAAGACAACCTGTATCATTGTATGCAAGTTGGCGGACAACATTTTCAGCATTTACTTGACTAATACCGTAAGTTTTGAAGTAAAATTAAATCGATTTTCGCATTTCTCGTCAAAAATATTGTTCGTATTTTCAAAGCTGCATATTTTCTAAAATAATGAATCGATTTTCAAAAAGTAAGAATCGATGTATAGAGAATTAAAAGCCCTTTCTAATGACCCCCCACTTGACCCCCATTCCCATTTGAAAAAATTTAGGGGATAGCACTGCCACTTAGGGGGTTGAAGATTATGGTATGCTTTTTGAGCCAAAAGTTGTCCCCCTCAGAAACAAATTTGACCTGTTTTTGGAATTTGCCAAAAAGTTCTTTACTACCCTGTAATGCCTTGCGGTACGTTTTCGATGGGCTACCCTGTATATTAAGTCTACGTAAGGAATTAGGAATAATGTATTGAAAATATAATAGTACGATGTAAAAGGTAATAATTGTGTAATTCTACACGACGTATGTTCAATCATTTACATTTTCCGTGTATAAAAACCATCACAAATTTGTCAAATGTGAATTTCCATAAATTATATGAACGAAAATAGATAATTTCTTTAGTAATCTATCCTGTTATTTCAGGTACATGGTTTCAACAAAGGAAATAGCGCCCGGTGAAATAATTCTAAGCGAAGAGCCCATCGTGGTAGGGCCCTGTACCGGTTGCAAGGTCCAGTGCTTAGGATGCTACAGGCCGCTGGAATCCGAAACCTATTTTGTGAAGTAAGTACTTGCACTTCAAAATGTTTCCAGAACTGTTTGTTGGTTTAAAACTTTTGCATATACGATTGCTCTTTGAAAATATGAGCGCGAATGACGACAAGGCGTGCGGTACAATAATAATAATAATGGTGTTGCTGTTACAATAAATGTTGTCATATAAACTGTTAGGCTGTAAGTTTAACCATATCACTGAAAATATACGCCGATAATTTGAAAGGTTTCGGGGGAATTTGCGTCAGAGAATGCACAAACTTTTAGACTGTAATGACGAAGATAGCAACTCATCAAATGTATGATTTAGAAGAGCATTCGAATGTTTTTTAAATAAGCAAATTGCTTTTAACGATAATCTTCGTTTTTTTTTCGTACAGCCATCAAATCACGAAAAATATTTTCAAACTCTCATGATTTATATTTTATTAGTAACAGTCACGTCCCGAAATATTAATAGAAAAATGTCTTTGATCATACAAAAATAGAATTTTTATGCATCTCAAATTTATTCTGGGTGTTTCAAGGTGATTCACAAAAGATGAAAATGACATTTATGTAAATAAAGAGTAATATAAAGCGCGAGCAGGCGTAATAAGGGTTGTATTACTTTTTATTTTATTTAAAAAATATAAAGTTAATTGAAATATACTGGAAAACACAAAATACAAAAATGTAGGTCTGCAAAACATCAAAGATAAATCTTGAAAATTATTTCCTGTGGTTTCTCTTGGTTGATTTATTCATCAAAAATTTTTCCCGAAGTTCTGGGGCCTATACTTTCCCTGATATCGTACCTCGCCGATCTTGGTGGAACACCCTGTATATGTACCTACCTACATATACAGGGTGGTCCCGAGGTAATGGGCCAAAATTCATGGGTAGATTCCCGAAGCAAAAATATTGCGATTTAACCGAACATACCTTAGTCCAAAAGTTGATAGTTAAAGAGATACAGGATGTTAAATGTTAAATATTATTTTAGTTTATTTCCATTTATTTCTTAATAAATGCAAATATCTACACAAAATTTTGGGGTTTGAGGTTCTTTGGATAGAGGAATTGAAATTTGTTCACATTTTGGTTATAGTTCATAGAGGGCGCCAGCTGCCGTAGATTGAAGGTGTTGGAAATGATATAATTTTTTTGTACTTAAAGGTATCTCATCTTTGGTATCAAATTCTTATTTTCCAACTTTTTTGCACAAAAAAGGTAGACTTTATGAAAGTAGCTGTCTCGCACCGTTTCCGTGATATTTGGCTTTGAAACTTCCAATGGTAACAGTTGAAATAATTAAAATAATTGAATGTCAAAAACAAGGGTTTATTTACAATTAAATATTGTAATGCACAGTAAAATAGCAAACATTAGTAAAAATATGCCTTTTTGACAATAATTGCTCAAAATGTCCACCTCTTGTCTTATTTTATAAATCCTTAATGCGAAATGACTTTGCAGCATTTAAAACCTGCTACTAAAGTTCTTCTCAAGTGTTTATAGTTTATCCATCCATCCCAACAACTGATTTCGTGTAACTCCAAAAACGAAAATCTCGGCATTCTATCTCACATGTATGTATACGTGTATACAATTTAATTTGTAAGCTAAGATGTAATTTTAATTAGATACGAATAATACTTAATATTATTAATTAAATATAAATAAGACATCAATTATTTGATTTTCGTCCAAATCCTACTTAAGAAACTTTACGGCTAAATTAATAATACCTGTAGGTACTTAATTGTAATTTAATGCAACAGCATTGGAAGTGCCAAAGCCAGTTATCTCGAAAACGGTGCGAGATAGCTACTTTAATAAAGTATAACTTTTTTGTGCGAAAAAAGTTGAAAAATAATAATTTGTTACCAAAGATGAGATACCTTAAAGTACAAAAAAGTTATGTTGTTTTTAACACATTTAATATACTGCAGCTAGCGCCCTCTATGAACTTTCAATTGCTCTACTCAAAGAACTCCAATCCCCAAAATTTTGTAGGATGATATTTGTATTTGTTAAGGAATAAATTTAAAAAAAACTGAAATAATACTTTATATTTAACACCCTGTATCTCTTTAACTATCAACTTTTGGACTAAGGTAAGTTCGGCTGAATCGCAATATTTTTGCTTGGGGAATCTATCCATTTTGGGCCATTACCTCGGGACCACCATGTATTTAAAAAAAAATGGTTGTGTTATCTTACTTTTCTGCGCATGCCTATGATATATCATTCGTTAGATCAAATCACTATTTTTTATTACTTTCACTTTAATAAAATTTGGATTTAAAGCTTGGTTTAGAAAATATTATAGCTTTTTTCGAGTATGTGACATTGCCAGTCGTTTTTTTGTCACATTCCCTATTTTCTTATGAAACAATCTAAACCTTTCAAAAATATATTTATATGTGAATTACTACTGTCGGGAAATATGCGTACTATCTATTTAAGTTAAGGTAAATACTTAATTTTTTTTATTATTTATTTGTAATTTCAATTCGACAACTATGAAAATGAATCGCAGCATGTTGAAACCACAAACTTTTTTTAATGTTTAAATCATATTTAAGCTGTACACAGTGACTCCGGTATATTTCAGGGTCCCATTCTGAGACCATTATTATTTACATATTTATAAATAGAATAGGTAACTAATATACTAGATGTATTTCGTTCGCTTTATATTGGTAAATTAAAAAATGTCACCACAATCAAAACCTTAGAAGGCTGTAAGCGACTGCAGGATTTAGACTATTTATCCAGATGGTGCAAAGAACTAATTCAGCCCTGCAAAGTAGAACGTCATTTACTGGAAAATTATCTTTTTTAAGTTTGAATTTCAATTTAAGTAGCATAAACTTACAAAGACCAGCCACGTTCCTTGATCTAAATGTTATCTTGGATCAGAAACTAACTTTTCCTCTCATATCAAAATTACTATCAGTGAAGCACTTGGTTTCATTGTACAATATAGTTACGATTTTATAAACAAACACTTTGAAACATGTAGCTACATCTTCGTTAAAAGCAAACAGCGAAGATTTCTGGCATTTTAAAACTCTTGGGATTTATCTACCTGGAGTTATTCTCAGTAAGGTCTCCTTGATTCAGTTTCCGTTTCCTCACTCACTGTTAGAAGCGAATATTTTTCCAAAGTTTTCGTCATGAAAGTGCACACAATAATCTTGACTGTGCATCCAAACTAGCTAAACTAAATCTATCAGTTCCGCGGGAAACTTCTCGACAATTATGAATATACCTGGAGAAAGTAAGAAAAAACTTGTTAGAAAATTCTCTATTACATGTAAATGTAGAATCCATAGTGCAATGACACTGACATTTTTAGTTGTAATCTTAATATTCTCAATGATGTTTAAAACATCAGTTTCTGTTCTATTATTTTTTTATTATTATTTCTTTTTCTCAGCATAGCCATATTTTCTTTCCATTCTGTACTCTTCTGTTTTATAATTAAGTGAAAATGCGTGGAACAGTGTAGCTTTCAAAGAAATAAAGGGACATAAGTGCTTTTTGGCATGTACTTTTATTTATTATCGTTTTGTTTTTTTTTCTTGGTAGATGTCCCCGGTGTGGTTGGCCACTCTGCTCTCAAACGTGCCCAGGCCTAGGCCAAAGACACGGACACACGATAGAAGAATGCCTGATCCTCCAGAAAAGCAAATCTTCCTCACTCCTTGACTACAGCAACCTGGAAAGCTTGAGACTCCACCTACAAGCAATAGTTCCCCTTAGGTGTCTCATTCTGAAAAGGACTGACCCCAGCACTTTCAATATCATTTGGGATATGGAAAGTCACAACGACATCCGCAGGAATATACCCGAGGTTTGGAATAGCAACCAGGTGAACGTGGTCAACAGGATCACGAAGGATTGGGGACTGGTTGAGTTCAGTGAACATGAAGTCCACACGGTTTGTGGAATTTTAGAGGTAAGCAGCCAATACTTTCATTTTTGTTTCTGTATTTGTTTATGTACAGGGAGATTCAGTCATAACGTCATTAATTTTAACCATGTACTCGGATGGCCTAATAAAGACAGAAAATCGAAAAAAAAAGTTGTTTTCCCAACCTTTTAAAAGATAAGCAAATTACCCCTTAACTTCAACTAATTCGACGTCCTCACATTTTCTGACTGCATTGTCAATCCTCAGTTTATTTCGGACTGTTTTGCGTGTCGATCGTAATGATTAATTTTGCGAATTTATATCATTCTCTACAATTTTAACATATTTAATACAGGGTGTTAAAAAAAGGGTGTAAAATATTTCAGGAGGTAATAGTATGAATCAAAATAACCAGAAAAGTCTCAATAAACATGGGTCCGCAAAGTAACGGTTGCGGAGATATGGACCACCATTCGTTTTTCAAACATTTTATTTTATTAGGAATAAACCGACAAAGGAAGCTTTTAACAAACAAAAAACAAAGTTACAGAAGATGTTCAAAGTGCCCTCCGTCCATTTCCAAGCAGGCACGACATCTTCGTCTCAACGATATTCGAACTCTTTCGAAAATACCCTCCTTGGTTTGGATTTCTTGACACTTTTGATTAATCCGTAGCTGCAGCTCTTCCAGGCTATTTACAGGAGTACCATACGCTAATGTTTTCAAATATCCCCAAACAAAGAAATCTACAGGGTTCAGATCACGCGATCTTGGAGGCCATAAAACAGGTCCGGCCCTTCCTACCCATCTATGTGGAAAAGTTTGGTGTAAATGCTCTCTAACGGCCATGGAAAAATGAGCTGGAGCACCATCATGCTGGAACCATATTTGTTGCCTCTGATTCAAAGAAATGTCTTCCAAAAACTCATACAGTGTGTTCTGCAGAAAGTTGAGGTAAGCAGCGCCTGTTAATCGGTTTGGTAAAACAACAGGACCTACAAACCTTTCACCTACAATACCCATCCAAATGTTTAATGAAAAACGTGCCTGATGTCCAGATTCTATTAGAGCATGAGGATTTTCGTCGGCCCAAGTTTGCGTATTGTGAAAATTAAACACTCCATTTCCTGTGAACCCGGCCTCATCAGTAAAAAGAATGTTTGCAAGAAAACGAGGGTCTTCAGCATCATGACGTAAAAACCAGCGGCAAAAAACCAAGCGTGCTTGATGATCATTTATTGGATTTAAGGCCTGTACTCGTTGCACATGGTATGGATAAAGCAGTTGCTCGTGAAGGATTCTCCAAACAAGAGGACCACTAATTCCTACCTCGGCTGATATTCTCCGCACACTCGTACCTGGATTCTGCTTTAGCAGTGCTAGAATTTCTTCTTCTGCTCTAGGAGTGGATACCGACCTTGGTCTTCCGGATAAATGACACTGTTTGCTCAAGGAACCGGTATCACGCAATCTTTGGTGAATTCTTCCAAACATGCGGTGTGAAGGAATCTGGCGATTTGGATAAGCGTCAACATAAAGACGTCGCGCTTCGGTGGCGTTCCCATTAGCACGACCATAACATGAAATGCATGTCTGTTAATTCTGCGTTAGAGTAACCAGCCATAGCGAAAGAAAACTTGTGCACTGAGTACAATTGTCAAATACGTACTGTTTATTTCACTAAACATTAACCAACTATTATAAGAAAATACACAACGTTTTTGCAAAATAAAAAAAGGGGATAAAAAACATAAAACATTCCATATCTCCGCAACCGTTACTTTGCGGACCCAATTTATTGGGACTTTTCTGCTTAATTTGGTTCATACTATTACCTCCTTAAATATTTTACACTCTTTTTTTAACACCCTGTATTATTATTGGCTGAAGTGTGCAAGAAAAAACATGTGCTTCTAAAATAGTCAATACAACCGTTACTAATATGTACTAGGAAAATGTTTAAATTTGGCGCTTCAGGTCGATATCGAGTTAACTTGGGAACCGTGAATGGTCAATTTCGCCAGCGGCCAGGAAAGGTCCGAAAAGCAGTTTAAATAATTATTGGAAAATATTGAAAAATATACATTCTAAAATTTTTTTAATCATGTATGCGTATTCTATTAATTTGTCCCTATCTTCCTTTAAAATTAAGGACATTATTACAGAATCACCCTGTAGTTGTTAACAATTTCATCCGCATTATAACCAAGATTGTCAAGTTTCTATACAAGGTGTTAATGAAATAAATACTCAAAATTTGACATCTCATATTTTCGGTTCAGAAACTAGAAAAAATTGCGTACACAAAGAAAATTGTAAAATTTGCCCCATGGTCCCGCATTTTCTTACACCTCTGTAGCAAATTTTCATTTGTATATTGTACCGATCATTAAGCATACAAATAGTAATACAAAATTTCGTGATTTAATACTAAACCTTTTTGAAGTTATGCAATAAAAACTATTTCCTGAGTTACCCCTTTAAGGGGCCGTATCTCTTTTAGGGGCCGCCACTGACAAAAAATCTATTAAAGTTTTCATCATATTTCGACATGTTTAAACACTCGCAAATTTTGAGTACTTATTTCGTTAACACCTTGTATATTATTTTCACTTATGTCAAACTACATGACATATCACAAATATCATTGCTGGCAGAGAGTGACCTATAAATCTGCAGGTACTATCAAAGCATAACTTAAATTATTTTATTTTTATTTATTTTAAAATTTAGAAATCCTGTCACAGTTTAAGGAAGTTCTCTTGTGATTTCAAAGAAACATAAAAAAATAATGAATGTTGCATAAATACGAGTATGCGCTGATTCCATATCAATTTTGACTTTACCCATTGTACAAATTAAATAAAAATAAATCATAAAGAAAGCAAATACAGGGTGGCCAAATGAAAACGAAACAGAGCCATTTTCAGGAACTGCGTCAAGATTGTAGAAAAACGCTCAGACCCGTCGATTTTAGATTAAAGGGGGACATTCTTTGCTGATATTTTTGACTCCGCCACTTTCACCTCCAAGCAAGGGTAAGCATCACCCCAAAATATTTAAATGGCATTGGGGGTTAAGTAATATTTCCTTTGAAGTTCTTACAATTCTCTTTAAAACAGACTTTAAATTTTATAATTCCGCCCAATACTTTGAAAAAAAATACATTTTAAAATTTAAATTATGATTAGTTGCTTACTTACTACTTAGTTGATTAAATGTTCAAACTGATGACCGCCCGCTTCCAAACAATAATAAAAATTTTGTTCGAAATGTTCGCGAACATTCCGAAGCATTTCCGGAGTGCGATTCGACGGCATTCGTCGCCGATTCTTTGACACAAATCTTCCAGCGACGCTGGCTGTGTTTTATAGATTTTACTTTTTAGGTATCCCCACAAAAAGAAATCAAGGGGCAATAAATCCGGTGATGGTGGAGGCCACTCAATGCTGCCTCTTCTTCCAATCCAATTCCGTAGAAAACGTTGGTCCAAATACTGACGGACAATTAACGCATAATGCGGAGGAGCACCGTCCTGTTGAAATATCAAATGATCATCATACTCACCGAAAATTCCAGCCCATACATTTAATTTTTCCGGTTGCTGTGTATGCACCTCGTGAAAAACTCTTGGGTTTGAATCGGACCAATAGCGGCAATTGTGACGATTTACCGTCCCGTTCAAGAAAAAACTGCATTCATCAGAAAAACAGATGTTAAAAAGGAACTGTGGATCGTTCCCTGCTCGCTCACTCATTATTTCGCAAAATTGCAAACGGCGGTCATAATCATCCTCATGAAGTTCCTGGACTAAATGTATTTTGTATGGATGGAATTTATTCTTCTTCAAAATGGTTTGTATGCTAGTTCGATTGATCCCAGACACAGATGCCAGCTGCCTCGTACTTAATGTAGGATCAAGATGAACTTGTCCCAAAACTGCAACTTCACTAGCTTCATTAACTATAGGTTTTTCAATTTCTCGTTTTTTATTGGCTACGTTCCCTGTCTCTTGAAATTTTTTTACTAACTCTAGAACATACTTCCTCCTGACATGTCGATCTTGATGTTGTTCATTAAATAGCTGAGCTGTTCTATTCGCACATTTATTGTTCATAAAGTAAAGCGAAATGATATCTACCCTTTCCGCAATGGAATAAACCATAGTGTTTAATTTTCAAAAACACAATTAAATAAACTACCAACCAACGCTTCCAAATAATACTAGAAAATAATTTGGAATCCACTAATTTTACGTTCATTGTGTGTGTATAGCATTCATTTCTGTTTTTTACAATTGTGTTTTTTTTACGAAAGTGATAACAAATCGCCAAAAACCAATGTAACGCAAGAAATACTAAATTTATACCATTGCCGTACTTAACTCGAATGACTGACATTTTTACCGTTACTAATTGTTTGTACATAAGTTTCAATTTTAAAATCAAAATTCTTAATAAGGATTGGGCGGAATTATAAAATTTAAAGTCTGTTGTAAAGAGAATTGTAAGAGTTCTCAAAAGAAATATTACTCCAGCCTTTTAAATATTTTGGGGTGTTGCTTACCCTTGCTTGGGGTGAAAGTGGCGGAGTCAAAAATACTAGCAAAGAATGTCCCCTTTTAATCTAAAATCGACGGGTCTGAGGGTTTTTCTACAATCTTGACGCAGTTCCTGAAAATGGTTCTGTTTCGTTTTCATTTGGCCACCCTGTATATATGACATATTGACATATCTCAAGCTCCATTATTGAGAAAAACAGAGGGAACCACATCTCCATACCTTGAATTGTTAAGGAGATACAGGCTGTTTGCCACTTTTACTCGTTTTTTTGAGCGACTTTTTTGTATTTGTGACTTTTTTAATTTGGTGAATATGACTATTTTTTAAGTAAAATACAATAGTGTACGTTTCTTTCAATGCTTAAACTCATATTTTTTAATAAGAAACAATATATCATAATTTTACGTAGATCTTAAAAATAAACAGTTCCGCTTAATGCTTTCATTGCAGAATAGTATTCAGTATCATAAGACTTTTTTTTAATATAAAACATCCACCCTATACTGCATCTGCACAATTTGTAGAATTTTTTTGGATTATGAGAAGTTTTAACGTTCCAATTTTAAATTATGTATGATTAGATTTGGTCAATGATATCTGGATAATTAAAAAGACAACTGTACCTGTCTCCACCTCCACCTAGTACTTTAAAACAAGTGCGAATCTACTATTAGGGAAAAAATCAATTTTAGGTAAACTGCTTCGAAATCGGACAAGGCATAAACATAAGAGGACTCTACCCAACGGCATTCCTTATGTCCCACGACTGCGTCCCAAATACCAACCACACCGATGAAGAAACTAATTACAAATTAACAGTAAGGGCTTCCACGAGAATCTCTCAAGGTCACCCTATCACGTTGAGCTACGCTTACACGTTACAGGTCCGTACAAATATATTTTATTCCTTTCACGGAAACTTGTCCCTAGTTAATATATTCTCACAGCGTATTTGTCCCTCAGAATTCCTTAAAAAGACGTGAACATCTTCTAGAGAATAAATTCTTCGAGTGTCACTGCAAGAGATGCTCCGACCCCACCGAGCTTGGCACTTATTCGGGGGCCTTGATCTGCCCCAAATGCAAGACTGGCCTCGTTCTCTGTGATAAGCCGCTGGACGCCGAGTCCTCCTGGAGTTGCAACAACTTACAGGGCCATTGCCCAGGTTACAGCATAGCTGCTAGGTCCATGAAGCTGCTGTTGCACAGGTACGTGCCCTTTTATTATTTAAGACCAAAAGGTCACTCATTTTTCACGCCATCTAAACACATAACCACTGAACAAATTGAATGTACAATGAATCTATATGAGAATCCCCATTCTATGCTTCTAAATCTGTGTGAACTGTTCTGACAGCAACAAAATCGCGTCTTGAGTAATCTTGACCTTCTTGAACTGTACTTTAAGCTGGCTAACGAAGAATCTGAGGACAGCAACAGTCTGTTAATCAGATCTCTGATTTTGTCCACGCACATGATTTTTCTTGTGAACTATCGATACCTTCTTATGTCTTTGTTATATCCTATTGTGCTTCTTCCGAAACCTGACCTATTGAAATAGTACAAGAAGTAATACCAATTGTATTCTTTCAACATACATTATTATTGATGTGTTCAAAAGTTGGTGTCATTAATGCTAATATACTATCAACAGACAACGTTTTTTGTTCATCTGCAAATACCCTTTTCCTATTTTGATACCTTGACTCGCTATGTTTCTGATAATTCCTTGACAATTTTGACCGAGCCTCTCTTTCCTTCATCAAGCATTCATCTCAGTAGCTATAGACAGTTCATCTAACGAAACTGACTCAACGAAGGGTCTAAGTTTTCGTCTTTTTATATTTTCGCTATACTCAACAAACTAATTTGTAAGTCCACCAGGCCGTGAAGATTACTTATCTTTAATTGATGGTAATGATTGGTAAACATTTTCGAGAATGTTAACTTGTTGGTGTAACTATTCCGTATCAGTTTATTTCGATTTGCTGGTGGAAGCTTCTTAAAAACACTTTTAAATTGAGTTTTGCAAGACGAAACTCACTTTTGAAAAAATTCTTGTCCTGTATGTAATAGTGACGGCAAACCTGAAAATAATAATATATAGGATACGTGAAGCATCGATTTTTGTTACTGCTTTTCTAATATTACATCTACATCTCTATCAACAATTAAAATAATAAAGGTTCTGGTAACGAATATAAAATATCAAAGACATGAAAAAATTTATAAAATTAGACGTAAATATCTTAACCACATCTATTTTCAAAATACAGGGTGTTAATGATAAGTTTTGCCAACATTTAATGGCGTATTCTACCAATGAAAATATTACAGCCTTACAGTTAGACAGTTGCTGAATAATCAGTATCCTAATCACTGGATTGGTAGAGGAGGATCCATTGCTTGGCCGGCTCGTTCCCCCGACCTGAATCCCTTGGATTACTTTTTTTAGGGCTACCTCAAAGCTATGGTATATCGATCAATACGGAGACGCTGCGCAGCATGCATTGCATCCCAAGCACAGCATTTTGAACATTTCTTGTGATGTTGTATATAGTGTTTTAAAATCTCTCAATAATATTAGGTATTGAATTTATTGTTACACATTTAGCAATCAGTAGAAAATGATAAATAGTAGGTACCTACTTAAGTATATTTTTATTTAATTTCCCAATTATCTAAAGACCAGAAAATTTTACAAATAGTTTACAAGAATACTTTATTGCCACAAATCGATTGTACATTTTAAAAACATTTAAAATTATTTAAAAAATCAGTGGCGCACGATTTTTTTTCAAAAAGTGTCCTCCACTCCCCTAATAACTACGCCACTGGAGTGTATTTTGGAATAAGTTATCCATGAAAAAATAGTCCCTATTAAAAAAATGTCATACCCCAAATTTTATCACTAAATATTCTTTACCGGTGAAATTACAGGAAAAATCATATAAATATTTGAAACTTTTAATACCCTGTATCTCCNTTCCCCCGACCTGAATCCCTTGGATTACTTTTTTTAGGGCTACCTCAAAGCTATGGTATATCGATCAATACGGAGACGCTGCGCAGCATGCATTGCATCCCAAGCACAGCATTTTGAACATTTCTTGTGATGTTGTATATAGTGTCTTAAAATCTTTCAATAATATTAGGTATTGAATTTATTGTTACACATTTAGCAATCAGTAGAAAATAATAAATAGCAACGTAGGTACCTACTTAAGTATATTTTTATTTAATTTCCCAATTATCTAAAGACCAGAAAATTTTACAAATAGTTTGAAAGGATACTTTATTGCCGCAAATCGATTGTACATTTTAAAAACATTTAAAATTATTTAAAAAATCAGTGGCGCACGATGTTTTTTCAAAAAATGTCCTCTACTCCCCTAATAACTACGCCACTGGAGTGTATTTTGGAATAAGTTATCCATGAAAAAATAGTCCCTATTAAAAAGATGTCATCCCCCAAATTTTATCACTAAATATTCTTTACCGGTGAAATTACAGGAAAAATCATATAAATATTTGAAACTTTTAACACCCTGTATCTCCGTAGAGAAGCGTCCTATAAAAAATTTTTATAGGACAAAAGTTTATTATTTTTATCGTCGGAATACGCCATTAAAGTTTGGCAAAACTTATCATTAACACCCTGTATTATTCTCAATTTTCAGGATATCTCAGGAAGTGGAACAGATCGACTTAAACGATGTCGAGGGTATGGAAACATTCTTAAAAAAATACAGGAACGTACTCCACCCCACCCATTACCTGTGTTTTGGTATTAAAGTTTCCTTAAGCCAAGTTTATGGGAAAATCAATGGTTACTTAATCTATGAGCTGTCAAATGAACTGCTGGAAAGGAAGAGAGATTTGTGCACTGAAATCTTGAAGGTTCTGGACATTATCGAGCCTGGATATACTAGGATAAGAGGTAAGCCTATTGAAGCCTATTGACTATAAGAAGTCGTGTTTTTTGCCATTTGTTTAACAAAACTCTACTCTTTTAGAATAGCCTTAAAGTATTAAACTATACGATTGCCATATTACATATAATAACGAAACTGATTTCCTAAATTTTCTGTTGGACAGTCAGCTATTAAGATTTTTCACATAGTCCAGGCGGTATCTTATCGGGTTGGGTAAAACGCATATGATCGGAGATTTTTGCTTTAACGGCTTCTAAATAACATCAGAAATGATAATTTTTCTATGCAAATAAAATAAAACGTGGGCTTAATTTTTAATGCAATAAAGTATAAAAAAATAGCAAAAAAATTAATTTTTTTCTTGGATTTCTCGGCGACAACTTAGCAACTTATCATTTTAGACAAAAATGGGAAAGGAAAAAAAGTTTTGTAATTAAATTTTGATCAAGATAGAATTAGTTGCAATTCGGAAAAATAATTATTGTTATTGCAAAAATCGGAAAAATCATTTAAAAAATTGCAAAAAATGCTAGTTTATTTGTCAATTTATTTCAGACACTTGAATAATACCTAGGATCTTCATACTTTTCCCAATTAAACTTCTTAGTGCATAGAATCATCACACCAAAATTCATCCAATTCGGTTTGATAGTTTTTACATAATAATTGTTTAAATTTTTTATATTTTTTAAATTAAAAAATTTTCAAAATCAAATTTCTAAAAATCTAAAACCTTTGAATACTTGAAAATTTCACCACAGAAAGAAGAGCTGTCAAGCTTTAAAATGATTTTTGAAAAATTCAAATCGGACGATTAGGTGAACCGTGGTGACTGTTTAAACATTGTCGCAATTTTCACGCTTATAAACAATTGCAATAATTTAATGTTTTTTTCAATTTTTTTTTTATTTTAAAATATGGTTTGAAAGTACTCGGAAAGACGAGTATTTAAAAAAAAACTGATGATCCGCCCATTATTTTCGGAGTTATAGCCCGTTAAAGTTAACCCTTATTTACAGCAAAACTATAAGGGTATAAGGGCTGTTTTTTGAACTAATAGGTTTGTCATTCCGAGTACTTTCCAGATATAAATTTTCAAAATTTGCAATCACGGGCGTCCCATTTAAAATGTCACTCAAAGATATTCAAGACCGCGTGAAATCAATGAGGTATCAGTGGTGGGGGGAGCAAACACACAGCTACTCCGATCTGAATTCTCGAGTTCAAAACTGCGACGCTCGGAAAAATTTCACTTATCTCAGCTTCTAATGGACCAATTTCGATGATTTTTTTTTAAATCGATGTCTCGCAACTTAAAAAATTCAATTATCATATTTTCAACTACCTTTTATTATTAATTATTGGACTTTTGACATGCCGATAAACAGTTACTTTAAAAAATGATTAATTTATTATGTTTATTTATTTACTATGTTAATATTCACGACCAAAATTTTTGCATGTTGCACCAGGTAATACTAGTAAGTTTGTTTAAATATTATAAAATTGTTTAAACAATAATTATTTAAATAAACAACTGAAAATTGGTATTAATTTTTAGTTGTACGATAAATTTCTAAAAATCTTTCAAAAAAAAATAAATTGTGAATAATTATAATTTTAATTTTTTCGTTTACTTTTAAAATATTTATCTAAAATTTATTTTTTATTTATAAAAAAAAGTATAAGAATCTTTTGGATACTTAATTAATACCAACAACATGGTGCAACATGCAAAAATTTTGGTCGTGAAAATTAACATAGTAAATAAATAAACATAATAAATTAATCATTTTTTAAAGTAACTGTTTATCGGCATGTCAAAAGTCCAATAATTAATAATAAAATGTAGTTGAAAATATGATAATTGAATTTTTTAGTTGCGAGACATCGATTTAAAAAAAAATCATCGAAATTGGTCCATTAGACGCTGAGATAAGTGAAATTTTTCCGAGTGTCGCAATTTTGAACTCGAGAATTCAGATCGGAGTAGCTGTGTGTTTGCTCCCCCCACCACTGATACCTCATTGATTTCACGCGGTCTTGAATATCTTTGAGTGACATTTTAAATGGGACGCCCGTGATTGCAAATTTTGAAAATTTATATCTGGAAAGTACTCGGAATAACAAACCTATTGGTTCAAAAAACAGCCCTTATAGTTTTGCTGTAAATAAGGGTTAACTTTAACGGGCTATAACTCCGAAAATAATGGGCGGATCATCAGGTTTTTTTTTAAATACTCGCCTTTCCGAGTACTTTCAAACCATATTTTAAAATAAAAAAAAATTTGAAAAAACATTAAATTATTGCAATTGTTTATAAGCGTGAAAATTGCGAAAATGTTTAAACAATCACCACGGCTCACCTAATCGTCCGATTTGAATTTTTCAAAAAGCATTTTAAAGCTTGAGAGCTCTTCTTTTTGTGGTGAAATTTTCAAGTATTCAAAGGCTTTAGATTTTTAGAAATTTGATTTTGAAAATTTTTTAATTTAAAAAAAATAAAAAAATTAAACAATTATTATGTAAAAACTATCGAACCGAATTGGATGAAATTTGGTGTGATGATTCTATGCACTAAGAAGTTTAATTGGGAAAAGTATGAAGATCCTAGGTATTATTCAAGTGTCTGAAAAAAATTGACAAATAAACTAGCATTTTTTGCAATTTTTTAAATGATTTTTCCGATTTTTGCAATAACAATAATTATTTTTTCGAATTGCAACTAACTCTATCTTGATCAAAATTTAATTACAATTTTTTTTTCCTGTTCCATTTTTGTCTAAAATGAATAGTTGCCAAGTTGTCGCCGATAAATCCAAGAAAAAAATAAATTTTTTTGCTATTTATTTAAACTTTTTTGCTTTAAAAATTAAGCCCACGTTTTTTTTTATTTGCATAGAAAAATTATCATTTCTGATGTTGTTTAGAAGCCGTTAAAGCAAAAATCTCCGATCATATGCGTTTTACCCAAGTATACCCTTTTTAAAACAGATACCGCCTGGTCTAACAAAAAATTTGCTAACTGCATTGGGTTCTGTAAGACCAAATTTCCAGTTTCCCAATTAAACCAACGGATCTTTATATTTCAGGTGTGACTCTCTACGAAATACACGCCCCGCTGATGATCCTGTTGACGCGCGATATGGAGGACCAGTCGCCAGCCAAGAGTGAGCTAAGAACCAGACTGAGAGAGGTGCTGAAATACCTCACGGAGGCCAGCGTCATCCTGAGCTACGAACCTGAAAATTCCCCGGAAGGCATCATGGGGAGAGCCGCCAAGGAAGCTTTGGTGCAAATGAGAGACTGGGAAAGCATTGTTGGGAAGTTATAGAATGACATTCTTTATTCTTATTCCAGGTGTTCTAGATACAGTTCTGTATAGCTTTATTTTATAAATCCGTTTGTAAAGTCCACATATTGAGTTGATTAATTCTTTTTGTGTAAATAATCAATGAAATTACTGCAGCAGCTTGACACTTTCAATTTCACTGAAAATAACAAATAAAAGTTATAACCGCACAATAGATTTGAGTACTGTTGTTTTCTGTGAATGAATATCTTCATAATTATACATAACAGTTACATAGTATATTGTTAAAGAGTGTTTAAATAAATTATTTTGTACATAAAGAATAAAAATATTTTTTAAATAAATTCAGCGTTTTCTTTACACGGTATAAGAAAAAAAATAGTTCACAATGCTGAAAATGAGAGAGTTCATAGAAAATTCAATGCGAGAACGTCAATTTTTAACATTGGAAATGTTTAAGAATCGGTAGAGTAACGCAAAATATGTATTGGGGTATAAACTCACATTTTTGGCTGCGACGGCTGGGCGCAGGGATGGTCCGATCGGAGTGATTTTGGTGTCGTTGTGTAGGCCCGACCATTTTGTATCGAATAGAAGATAGGGGTGGCAGTGGGGACAAAAAAACATTTTGAATGTTTCTTATCCCATTCTAGCAACATAAACAAATATTTTGAGCATATCATCATTGTATCATACGAATATCTCACTCTAATTCAGATACAAATGTTATATTCAGATAAGCGATATAGCCCAGTGGTTATGTATATAAGAAAAATCATTGAAATTGCATTATGCTATAATTTTCTTTTTCCAATCGTTGGGGGACTCGCTGGTAGCGTCTGCCGCCATATTGAATTTAATGTTGAATATATTTTGGTTAAAATCTTTACTTCTTTTCAATTTTTCTATAACTTTGGTTATTAGATTTTCCATCTGCGATTGATATTTTTCAATTTACATTCACATAAAAATGTGTAAAATTAAACTAAATTATTGCATTATCTTGTTTATTTTTAAGAATTAGATTCTTTATAACTTTTTCCCCTAACCTTTTTTCTTGCATCAATATTCTAGGTTCTATGTTTTGTGAATAATAATAAATTATATTAATTGACATTAGTGTATCCATGACCAAGGGAGTCGCCAGCCAATGGGCTAGGGGGGGCAAGATAATAGAGAGGATGGGAGAAATATAAATTATAGGTAGAAATAGGTACAGTGAATTAATTTTTTTTAGAATAATTTTTAATAAAACCTTTTTAATAATACAAGAAAAATATGAAAAAATATAAGTAACTAAAAAATAAAGAAGTTCAACGAAAATTAGGATTTTTTGAAAATTTGTCGACCACTTTATTAATCAATTCTTCATGGTGTCAAAAATAAGGATAATTAAGGATCGAATAATAACCTTCACAATTCAAGCTTCAAGCTATAAGTAAATGGGACCCAATTTGAACACTTAATTAATTAAAACTTGTTTGAAAACTCTTTTTTTCGGTTTATTTCACCGACACATTTTAGATTAATTTTAAGGCAGAACAAAAAAATTTCAGCATTTTGTAAAGAAAATTATATTATTATACCATTTAAGATTCTTGAAGGGGTTGCCACCTCGTTTAGGGGTATGACCCTACATCCTTGAATTTATGATCAAAAGATCCCATACCTCAAAAACGAAGCATCTCCTAAATAATTTTAATAATTTTAATACTATTGGTTAAACCCAAGGGAAGGGGAGACAAAAAGGCTTATTTGACTTACACATACTCGACACTAAGACCAATTTTAATAGGTACTATATTTTTTAGGTTTTATGAGGAACGTCTTCCTAAAGTTTATCGACTGAATCCAGAATCACCCTTCCGAAAAATCAATTTTGCCATGAAACTATAAGAGTTAGGAAAAAAGTGAATGGACACTTTTTGTCAATAACAAACTGTTCTATCTAAAAACAGCATCATTTTTTATTTTCAGTAGGGCCGTATTAATTTTTTTTATAATTTAATGAGTCTGGGTCCCCATAACTCCGCCACTGGTTGCTTGCGGAACTTCTGCTTCTATGGAAAAATGGTATCTTATAAGAAGATGTGTCATGCCTAATTTGGCTTAAATAGCCGTCTTCATTTAGAAGTTATTTAAAAAATTCGAATTTTTTTAAAAATCTTTAACGCCCTATATTTCGAAAATGAAGCGTCTCTGGAAAAGAATTTATATGTACTTGATTTTTTTCTTATTTTTTTATGAGGTATATCTTCTTAAAGTTTGTCGACTTAATCCTGAAACACCCTGTATATGCGTTTAACTCCTCTTCGGATCAGTTTTTGACCTGTTTGGGGGGGAGAGATTAAGGGTGCGGATGGGCTAGTAGTATATTCGTGGGCTTTACCTTGTAAACGGGTGACATCGCTATCCGCAGTGATACGTGTTTGAAATGCTAAAAAAGGAGTAAAAGTGGCCAAATACAGAAAAACAAACCAACTGCTGGTATTTTTATAATCGGAACTTTATTCTAGAGGCCAAAAATAACTCGTATCCACAACAATTTTTTCAATTTTGACCGAGACCACTTTTTAGTGTAATTAATCCGTGGTCCTTTAGATATTGTTACTTCTCTTCAGTTGTTTTGACTTTTTTCTCTGCCTCGAAGAATAAATTGGTCACGAGATAATTTTCGCATGGCCACCCTGTACGTTTCACCCCTCGGACTCGAGCAAACAATTGTAAACCCCATAGTACTACACACACATCAACAGATGCCACCTAAACTCCTTCCTAGGCCGGTAACTCACGCCGCATAAATCGACTTAAAGCTTAACGCTCTCCCCCTTCCCCAACCGCCTCACGGAGACAATCGCGCCAATCTCGAGGCCCCGCCGAAACAGCTGAAAGCCGGCGCCCGATACCGTTACTCGCCAAATCCGTACGGCGCGCGATTTTCCCGCCCCGAGGGGAAAGGAGAAAGCTGGCCCTCGGCCCTTATCCCGTATACTTAAGTGCGACGAGGAGCTGCGCGTGTGTCGTCCCATCGATCCTATTTCAGTAGGGTGGTTTAGCACCCTTTCCCCTTGCTACTCAGGTTTAGTTGTGTCGGCTCCGATGTACGTCACAGTGTCGCACTTGCATCAATTGCGATAGCGCACCGTTATCAGTTTGCAGTCATTATAGTGCAGGTGTCCTCAAGGTTAAGTACTCTGGACGGTGGGAAGCTGCGGAGGACGAAGTAAGTTCGACTCTCCGAGTTGCAGGTAGTAGGAATTGCCCAGGTACAAATCGTTACCTGAAATTTTTTATAAGTACGGTTTTTTCGCAGATCTTTTATTGCGTTGTTTGTCGACCACGAAGCGTTTTGCGATGTTCGGTCCGTGGGGATAAAGTCAGCTGTAATATTAGCAAATCAATATCCCTGTTAGATCTATACCCGAGGTTGTTATGTTTCGCGCAAACGTGTACTTAGTGCAAGTTTATTACACAGGATGTTTTGGAGAAAGGTACCATAAATTCAGAAATCGATAGAACATCACAAAATAAGACGATTGCTTCCTGTGGATCATGGTCTTGTGTTTTTGAAATACAGGATAAATCAAGTTTTAGCCAAATGTTTTTCAAAAACAATGGAATGCATTCAAATTTGGTACAAACAAGTTTTAGAAAATACTAATTATGTTTGTTTTTATAGTTTTTGCCCATTTTAGGAAAAGTCTTTTAATATATGGCATATTATAATGTAACAATACATTTTTCTCACTGTATTTGAGAAAAGTGCGATTGACTGTCTCAAAGCCGACCATATTCTATTATTTAACATACACAAACGAAAAAGCTTTTTTAGATAAAAATAAACCTATGTAGCTTAAGTTAGATTTATATGACTTTGCTTAAGAAGTTATCTGTCTTCAAAAACACGTTTTGTTCTATTTTAACTAATACTAACACAAATTTTTAAGCAAAATTGTTCGAAGTCTTGGTCTAAATCGGTCACGCAAGTTTATGCAATCGGTCATGCACCTTTGAATCATGGCGCATTTGTTTCCGGACACCTTGTATATTAACGAATAGAAACTGCTTTACTTTGGGGTCTGTCAATCGCATTTTTCTCAAAAACGGAGAATTCTATGTTACAATATACAAGGTGGGCCATTAGTGTGAGAAAGTAAAATAACTCCCTTGTTATTCATAATACAGAAAAAAAGTTTATATGGAAGTTGTACATAATCAAAAAACCTAAAGGACAAAATTAATTTAAAACATACAGGGCGATTAGTAAAAACGGGACACGCCAAAGACTACATATTTAAATGGAACACCCTGTATATTTTTAAACATATAGATTTATGAGAAAGTTCTATATATATGGCAACATAAACAGTTTAATATTTTAGTGCGGGCTTGCCAAGTTTTGTAGAAAATTCTTCGAATTTCGGAAAAAGCATGACCTCGAAGAAGTTGAATTAACTTTCGACTACTAACACTTGGAGCAAAAATATTTGACCGAGTTATAGGTAAATGTTAGGCAAAGACTCTTTTATCGCTAATATCGATGTTTTATACAGGGTATTTTTTATAATTCGATCATTTTTAAAAAGTTCAAACTTGATTTTCTAAAATTTTTCAAATGGAACACGCTGTATTTTATTGTTCTATTTTATTCACATATCTGTCCACTTCAACTTTTATTAAGTATGTTCTACACCTAAAGTTGTTAGTTTTTCAAATATAGCAACATTTTTGGAAAAACCTAATTTTTATTATTTTCAGTCGCACGAAATTACTTTAGAAAAAACTGTCACATTGTGTCAACTTATCGATTCATAATTTATCATTTCATTTTGAGTTAATTTTATTATTTAATATTTATTTGTGGTATTCTATAAAATAATAAAAATTAAGTTTTTTCAGAAATGTTGCTATATCTTAAAAACTAACAATTTTAGATATAGAACATGCTTAATAAAAGTTGGAGCGGACCGATATGTGAATAAAATAGAACAATAAAATACAGGGTGTTCCATTTGAAAAATTTTATAAAATCAAGTGTAAACTTTCTAAAAATGATCGTATTATAAAAAATGCCCTGTACAAAATGTAGATATTAGCTAATAAAGGAGCTTTTGTCTAACATTTGCCTATAACTCTGTCTAATTATTTTATTCCAAGTATTAGTAGCTGAAAGTGAATACAACTTCTTCGAGATCATGTTTTTTCCAAAATTCGAAGAATTTTCTGTATAACTTGGCAACCCCGCACTGATAAACTGTTTATATTGCCATACATAGAATTTTCTCGGAAATCCATATGTTTAAAAATATATAGGGTGTTCCATTTAAAAAATGAAATCTCTGGCGTGTCCCGTTTTTACTCATCGCCCTGTATGCTTCAAATTAATTTTGTAGTTTAGGTTGCTTGATTCTGTACAACTTTTATGTAAACTTTTTTTCTGTATTATGAGTAACAAGGGAATTATTTTACTTTCTCGCACTAATGGCCCACCCTGTATAACATACATTGTATAAAATCTAGTCTCAAAAAAATTATGTCATCAAATATCACCAGAAAAGATCGTAGCTAACGACCTCCATCAGATGATAAAAAAACTAATAATACTGACGTATTTAACGCCGTCAAAAACTTACTTAAAATTTTATTGCATTACATTGTTTTTTGAAAAAATATGAAAAATTTGATTTTAAAAAATCATATTTTATGCTGCAACTCAAACAACAAACGACAATAGACCCATGATCCTTGGGGACAATATTCTTATATTTTAATGTTGTATCATCCCCAGAATGTATGGCAATTTTTTCCAAACCACCCTGTATAAGTCATAAAACCAACGTACTGGATGTCATTTCACAGTTTGTAAGAATAATCTCAATCCAATTTGTTTAACAATAGGCCGTCAACTTTGACAGTCTGTAACTCCGTTGTTTTTCAACGATTCTTGACGATTTTTTTTTTAACTTAAAGCTCTTTTCATAAGCTTTCCGAATAATATATAACTATATCAAGCTCGTGCGTCGTATATTTCATTTTGCAACTAAGGCTAAAAAATAAAAAAAAATCCAGGTTGCAAATTTGAAATTAAAAAAAAAATGATAAATTTCAATGTGTTATTATGAAATCTACCATGAAAACAATCAGTGCGATTGTGGAAGATCCTCGGGATCGTCCAGACTAATAATTAGTTAATTTGATTATAAGCCAATAACTTGTAAATTATTCAATTTACCGATTCCAGGTTTCGTGTGAGTTATTAGACAGTGATAAGGAATGAGAGGATGCGGTGCCAAAACGTTCTGGTAATAATAACGCAGTTTATAAATGTTTAATTCAAAAGTCATAAATAAAATTCTTCTGTTTATAACTTTTGATCTAATCAATATTTTTTTGTACTCGAGTGCTAGTTTTGTACGTCTTTTGAAGACGAAAAAAAAGTACTTTACTGTTTTCTTGTGGAAGTGAACGGAAAAAAGTTATAAGCGAAAAACGTGAATTTACGTGAAAATTATACAATTGACCACCCTGTAAACAATCTACCCCATTTTTATGACTTTGAAAACTAATATGTTATTGTACATAATATTTAGCATCTATAGTGATAAATTCAGCTTGCCGAAACAAAAAGTCGCGAAATGGTAATTTCCCAGCTTATTTTCTTGGCCTATAATTGTTTCTAACAAAATAACGTATTTAATGTTTAGGGGCATTCTTAAAACCGATTTAAATTTACTAACTTTTCAGTATAAATAAAACAAGATTTGAACAAAAAAGACAATTTCGTTTCATACGATTGTAAGTATTAAATTCTACTTATCTTCTATCAACTTTAATTGCAATTTAAAAAATAACTAAGATGATTTACCGGAATTTTAGTTGTTCAATTCATTAAAAAACAAGTTATCATAAAATTTCTTGTCAGTAAGCCCTTTGTAGCTTTGAAATTTTGATGACATTTTTTTCATAGAAGTAGTTTGTTGTTAGTACCAAATTTGGGAAAAAAACACTCAACCAAAAAAAAGTTAGTGAAAAAAATTAATTTAAGATAAGTTTGAGGTTATGTAACTCCCTTAATACTGAATTTTGGAAGAATTGTTGTAGGAGTTTATGCCGTTATCTTTATGAGTAGGATCTCCCCTTAAATTTTTTGCTCCTAATTTCCAGGCAGCTTGTATTCGTAAACCAGTTACAGCCTGTAGCAAAACGAGTGCAAGTAAAGAAAAAAAGAGACGCGATTCACGAGCCACCCTGTTTACTAAAACGTCTTACATTAAAAAGAGACAATCGAACAAAATTTGTTTACTAGCAAAATATCCGAAAAGCCAAACAACAAAAAATTTACTCAGTCAATCATTGATTGTTTCCCAGACCGCAAAATGGACTCTCAAGCGTTGCGCACGTTGCAAAAGAAAAGAACGACCAACTTTCGCGAAGACGAGACTAAATTACTAATACAGCTGTGGGGCAGCCCCCAAATCCAAAACAAACTGTACCTCACCCACCGAAAAGCCCCCGTCATGCGACTGTTGGCCGCCAATATGCAACATCGCGGATTTTACAGAACCCCCGACGAAATTAAGACAAGGATCAGGAACCTGAAATGCTTGTATCACAGGATTAAGAGGTCGATGCAGACAGGCACCGGCATCGGCACCGTGGATCCCGACTGGCCCCACTTCAAAGCCATGGACGAGATCCTCAGCAAGAAGAACCAGAACAAGACCCAGAACTTGTACAAGGACAACATCTTCGAGGGACCCAGGTGCGAGGACATCAAGCAGGAGGTCATAGATGAGATCGACATCAACGATGATATGGAGTCGTTCACCACCAACAGCATGAATGGGTAAGTACCACCATTGTACAATGGTACCACTTTCCTTGATAAAAAAAATACCCAATACATTACAATTTAATAGCACTTGCATGTAAGGGAAATAAATCTCAAAAAAATCAAACAATTACGATCTGGACAGGGTAAACAAATAGAAACAAGCCATTATTTTATTATTCTCATTGTTCCCACGTGCTAAGGTTCCTGTCAAATTGACAGGGCCTGGAAAGGATAATTTTCGAATTGCAAATTTGAAAAATCCAGATCCCCAGTCTGTTTTGTCTTTCGTGAAATGTTTCTCTTGCTGTTGCGTGGCTACAGAGCCTTGAATTTATTTTGGAAAGGCAAATAATGATGGCGGAGCAGAGGATTAAAAATTTGCATTGCATTAAATTTTGGCGGAGAATGGAAATTTTGATAAATATTTAATCCGCGAAGGTTCAACCATGATTTTAAAAGATTTCACGTGAGTAATGAAAAATTAATTACACTATTCTTGATTGACAGTTTTTTGACAGATAAATAAAGTGTGTTGTTTTATAATAAAGACAAAAATTTGTCAGTTTTAGAGAAATTTCGGAAAATTAATGCAGCAGAAAGAAAGGTAAAATAAAAAATGTACTTATGATCGTAAAAATAAAACTTTTGCTACACAGAACGAATCCAAAAATATTGTTACTGCAAAAATATTAAAGGAGTTACCTAATAGTTTTATTTTTTTAAAGTAAGAAAGTTTGGAAAATAAAAATTTACTATTTAAGCTACTTTTTTAATTTCATTTGCCACTTTAGAATTATTGACATAAGTCAAGAATAATTATTCAGCTATCTAAGAAAATTATTTCAGAAAGTAATAGCAAATTTGATATTTTGAGATATAGTGGTTTTCATTATCAGTTCCAATATTTTTCAGTATTAATCATTCTTACACATTTGACCAACTTTAGCGTAGACATTTTTGGTTCAGTCAGATTTGCATCAATTCATCAACCTCGTCATCATTTCTATACAGAGAGATTGGAAAATTTAAAGTGCCAATCTCCAAATTTAGTAGAAGTTTCTCGTCTTCTCTTTGTCAAAATTGATCATTTTTCCACGTTTTTTTTTTCATATTCTAAAGTACATCCACTACATTAAACACAAAGAACAAACACAAAAACATTTTTCCTCAAGAAATATTGTCAAAAGTTGCAAAGTAAGTTTAAATTCATATCTTCTTAGTCTTTTAGCAGACAAATTTATATTTTTTGTAATTTGATGAATTAAAAATACAATTCTATAGGATGTTACAAAAAATTAGTCAAATCATAAACCAGAGACTCATCAGACAAAAATAATGACACGTACTTTTTGTTATTTGTAAAATATACCGAATAGGTACCCATTTATTTTATTAATTAAATCTTTCTGTTTAAAACTGCAAAAATATTATACTTATCCGAAAAGCCTTTTCCAAAGATCTCTTCTATTTTTGTGAGGAAAATGTAAAGTAACAAAATGTACATTTTATAGTAACAATCATATTAATATCATTTTCTATGGTCAACTGAATAATCTACTGAATTTGTGAGTGATTATATCCAACGAAAACGAAACTGTTTGTTTCTTCAAACTTAAATTTCCCGCCACGTATATTTTCAAATGACAATTAGACGGATCTGTGTCGAGGTGGATGTGAGAGGGGGCAAGCAAATTTTGTCGGGATTACCTTCAGTACAATTCACATAATAAAAGTGTAGATCCCTAAATCTGGGCGAGGTCTGAAACATTTTCAAAATTGCAAACATGTTTAAAAACTTACCTATCGTATCTAAGTTTTTTAATTATATCTTGGTACCTATGCATTTTGGAAGAATTTTGAAGAATAAAAAAGTTTTAGAATTGAATTTTGTACAATATGCTGGAAGTTCAAAATGTTTAAATTTATTACCGATGTTGCAAAATAGCAATAATTGATGAAAAAAAGGCAAAATAATCAAGTTCTTTGGATAATTTTTTAAAATATTTTAACTGCTCCGAGGGCATTCTAATTTTGATAAAAAAAAACTTTAGAGTATAATAAAACAATACACCAAATTTCATTAAAATCGGTTCTATAGTTTTCGCAAAATAATTTTTTGAAAAAAATGTTGAAACAAAATTTTCGAATTTTCAAAATGTTGCACAGCCTTAAATAAAGCATGTGGATACTTGAACATTTTTTCACATAGAAAAGACCGCTCAACCTTTCAAATTGTTTTTAAAAAATTGAAATCGGTCACAGTAAATTTTTAAAGTTAACACTCTTTTTTTTATTTTTAAACAATTAGATTACATTTATCATAATGCAATTTAGTTTTTTTCAAAAATTATAATTTTAAAGTACTATTTTTCCTTAATTTTATCTGTATTTAACAAAAAAATTATTCTCCAAATAAAACAATTTGTTTTAAATTTGTTTAAACAAAAATTATTTAAATAATTGTAATGTAATTGTAATTATAACTAAATACATTCATATTTAGTGTTGAAATATATACGTAAACAAATTTTTTTCATTGAAAAAATGCAATAGCATAAGGTAAAATATACAGTATACTTAATGCATAAATAATAAACTTTGTTTATAATAAAATATGTGCAAATTAGACTGTTGGCATTACGATATTCGAATTCCTTGGTTCGCGAGACATCGGATTAAAAAAAAGATCGAAATTGGTTCATTAGAGACGAGATAATGCAATTTTTTTCGTACCTTCAGATTTTGAACCTCCAAATTCAGTCTCGGAGCGAAAGCCCCCTCCCCCACTTTGTGTTTTGCTTTTCCGCTGATTTATCTATGTTGCCTATAACTTATGGATATGAAAATTTTTTTCCAACTTAGAACTCGGAAAAGCGAAGCCACTTTATCAAAGATTATTGCTAAATTTTTAGAAATTAACGGCAAATGCCGATAAACTTTGACCGCTTATATCTCGAGAACCAATAAACGGAATTTAACATTTTTTTTTAAGAAGCGCCTTTCCGAGTACTTTAAAACTATAATTTTTGAAAAAAACAAAATTGCAAATTGATAAATGTAATATAATTCATTAAAAATAAAAAGAAATTTACTGTGGCCGTCCTAATCAACCGATTTCAATTTTTCAAAAACCATTTGCAAGATTGAGCGGTTTTTTCTATGTGAAAAAATTTTCAAATATCTAAATTTATTTGTAGACCAGGGTCGATAATTTTTGAAACCAAAAAAAATTATAGTAGGATGAAACCCATTGGAAAAGAAAGAGAATATAACAGAAATGAAAGGAAAAATAATTTACGGGCGATCTGAGGTCGGGAAAGGGTAGGGGGTGAGTTTTTAAGGGTAAAAAACGGTTTCCCTTGATTTCCAGAAAAACTACAAGTCTTATGGAAAAAAGTTAAATGACAAAGTTGTAGGTAATAAAAAGATCTACAACTTTTGTATTTACACTTTTTTCACATAACCTCAAAATTTATGTGAAAAAAATTCAAATAACCAAGTTTTTGGTTTTTTATTTTTATTTTTACAAAAAAAAATTTTTTTTTCACGAAATTTGGTGAAAACTTACCTATTTATGTCCCAAACACGCTGTAATTTTTTTGATTTGAAATATTTATTTTTTCACCTTATTTTTACTTAATATCGAAAAAGCACCCTAATTTTCAATCGAAAATTCTCACGTCAAAATATCTGCTTCTTTAAAAACGTCGGTGGGCAAATATACATTACTATGGTAAATTTTCTCAGGAAATGCAAAGAAACGAAAGAAGACTCTACAACTTTCTCAAAATATTGTAGATGTCTTATTAACTTTATTAACTTATTTGGTTGTTAATTATAATAGTATATTTCGACTTGTAATTTTTTTGTTTATCAATGTAACATGGAATCTTACGTTTTTCGAGTAATTAAAGTGTAAATTTTAATAAACAGCTCAAAACTACATAATTAGAAAAAATTTTTTGGATTCTAGTTCGTTTCTTTGCATTTCCTGAGAAAACTTACCATAGTAATGTATATATTTTTTTACACCATCAGAAAGTAGAGATTTCAACGAAGAAAAAGCCCACCGACGTTTTTAAAAAAGCAGATATTTTGACGTGAGAATTTTCGATTGAAAATTAGGGTGCTTTTTCGATATTAAGTAAAAATAAGGTGAAAAAATAAATATTTCAAATCAAAAAAATTACAGCGTGTTTGGGACATAAATAGGTAAGTTTTCACCAAATTTCGTGAAAAAAAAATTTGTTTGTAAAAGATAAAAATAAAAAACCAAAAACTTGGTTATTTGAATTTTTCACATAAATTTTGAGGTTATGTGAAAAAAGTGTAAATACAAAAGTTGTAGATCTTTTTATTACCTACAACTTTGCCATTTAACTTTTTTCCATAAGACTTGTAGTTTTTCCGGAAATCAAGGGAAACCGTTTTTTACCCTTAAAAACTCACCCCCTTCCCCTTCCCGACCTCAGATCGCCCGTAAATTATTTTTCTTTTCATTTCTGTTATATTCTCTTCCTTTTCCAATGGGTTTCATCCTACTAAATTTTTTTTCACTTTTTACCATTTTTGAAGGCACTGGTCTATTGAGACTGTGCAACATTTTGAAAATTCGAAAATTTGGTTTCAGAAAATTTGCGAAAACTATCGAATCGATTTTAATAAAATTTGGTGTGTTGTTTTATTATACGTTATAGTTTTTTTTATCAAAATTAGAATGCCCCTCGAAGCAATTAAAAATTTTTTTAAAAATATCCAAAAAACTTGATTATTTTGCCTTTTTATTTCTTCAATTATTACTATTTTGCAACATCGGTAATAAATTTAAACATTTTTAACTTATAGTATATAGTGTAAAATTCAATTCTAAAACTCCTCTTCTATATTCTTCCAAAATGCATAGGTTCCAAGATATAAGTAAAAAAACACAGATAAAATAGGCATTTTTTAAAAATTTTTTAAATATTTTTGCAATTTTGACAGTATTCCGGACCTCGCCCAGATCTAGGGATCTACACTTTTATTATGTGAATTGTATTGAAGGTATTCCAGCAAAAATTGGCTTGCCCCCTCTTACATCCAAGAATATTTCGATAGATCCGCCCTGGTCTAAATATCAGATTCCATCATTTAAAATGGCAAATTCCGTGACTGTGAAAACTTACCCTTAGACTCCGTGGTAGTACCAAGCACACATAAGATTGTGACACCCTGTACATCGACATTTATTGACGCTAATCATTTTAGATCCGACACCGAGTTCGACGAGGAAGCCCACCGAATGCCCTCCCTGACCCCGAGTCTGCACGTCATCGACACCAAGGAGAAGGACGAACAGGAGCCCGTGAAGATAGCGCCCAAACCGCCGGCATTGCCCCAGCCCAAAGTCCTCCACAACAACTTACAGATCCCCCTTCAAGGAGTCAGGCACGCCAATGGGTCAACACCTACCATTCCTTTCCCCCTGCTAATTCTAAACGGGCTGCCAAACGCCGCCGCCGTCAGCAGCGTGCAGAACGGTCAAAATCCCCTCAAGAAAGACGCCCTGGGGGGCGGTGGAGGCTTAGGACTCAACCAGCAAGGTATGTAGGGTTTAATCGATAAAATGCGGGAGATTCAGGGTGATTGAAGGTGATGTCGTATAAAAGTTATTAAAATTAAATATACTTTACCTAAAATTACTTTTCTTTGGCAGAGGTATTGGGCGATTGTTTAAATTCATTGACGATTGACGCGCATTATAATTTCAATAAAACGTTATTAAATTAATTATGTAACATTCGGTGAATTTCGTACAATAGGCATGATGACAGATTTTGAAAAACTGCTCTATGACGTTCGGAAGTATTTACTATTTCCAAAAACATATTTTATTTCTGTAGAAAATAAAATGTTTAGTAGAAAAATTTTGACATTTTAATTTTTAAGTCACGCAAAAACGGTTTTATTTTATGAAAATGACTTTTAAAGAAAGAAAACTAAACATTTACGGGTCTATTTTGCTTCTAAGGCGAAAATGCTATAATATTCGTGTTTAGCTACCCCAGATTAAGTACAAAAAAATAATAAAAATTTAAATAGTTATTTGAAAAAAACATACCCAAAAAAAGTGCAACTTTTTCAGTCATTTTTTGATCCTTAAAATTAATAAAATCGTCAACATTTTTTAACAGCATGATAATATAACTCTACGAAGAAAATAAACCGAAAATCGTTACTGTAGGGCTATCCGCTGAGAAGATCTAGCCAATTTTCGAGAGCGCCTTTTTTTTCAAAAAATCGATATATCTCGAAAAATAATTAATATTTTTAAATTTTTCAAAAATGTACTTTTTTGGCTTGCCGCGGGCTATATGCTTGCAGTAAATAGCAAATATGGGCACGTATGGGCAATCGATACTTTAAAAAAATCAGTCGATAGATCTTTTTAAAACCTACAGCTTTCTCATTTAAAATTTTTCAATCCGTGCTATATTTTTTTAGTTATTTTAGAAAAACCGTTTTTTTCAACTTTGCGATTTTTTTAACCATGTTCGCCATATTGGATCGAATTTAAAGAACAAGAAACTCAATTTAAAATTTAATTTTCTATACGGTCATATTTTTTTTGTCCAGGTAATAATTTCTGCAAATTTAACATTAATCCGTGACAGAATGCTTGGACTATTTTGAAGCCCTGATAAATACATTTACTTATAGCTGCCATCTGCACACAAAACTTCTGGGTCGGTTTTCCTTTTTCCACATAATTTAAAAAGTCTTCATATTCGTGGTACATTTAATTTCAATAATACTGTCTTCACAGATTCCATCAGGCGATCCTGCTATCGTGGGACAGTTTTTGCAAAGCATTATACCTCATTTTTTTACTTGTTTCCCCAAACTGGTACTTACAGTTTTCCTCACTTCATCCTTCAACATTCTATCGCGTTTCATGGCTCATGCATCTGAGATTTTTCCTCACAGTATTAACGTGATCATAGTTGCATCATTGGTTTTGCACCGACTAAATTCAAACGCTCCTGAGGCCGTCACTTTCACATGGCTTAAATCATGCCAAAAACAGCTTTGATGTTGGTCTCGTCTTTTCTTCAACTTTTATGTCATCTTCATCAGTTAATACGAGTTTTTCCAAAAATGTGTCGCAAGACTGTTCTTTGTATTGCAGCACCAATTTATGCATGGATAAACTTTTTATCACATAGTCTTTTTGATATTTATTAACTCGCAGCTGTTGAGCATTCTTTTTTCTCCTTCTTCTAGAAACTTTTCAAATACTTAACTAAGCAACTGATAGTTGGGAAACACAAAATATTTAAACGAAGATAAATACTGCGGATATTGTCGAAGTACAAATGACAAAATAACATTTACATAGATGTGCCGTAATTCGCTCTGATCAACCTATCATGACGATTTGCTGTATTTTGTAGTTTTATTTTATCAAAAATATTATTAATCTCGCCCATAATATAAAAATAAATATGTTTTTTCCATGAATCAGATTTCATTAGATAAATACATAATTTTAGTGATTATTGATTACTGACATCATGCCTATTGATTTTTAAAAATGCGCATTTATAGGTAATCATTGCCCGTGTTTTATTCATCATTTTAGTGAGGGCTAGTTTTTAATTCATCGGTAGAAAATTCAATGAATCAATGCACTAAATAAAAAATAACGTCTCTAATAAGTTTGAAGGAAGCCAATAGCAACCCACACATTTACAATTTAATCGACTGTCTTGAATGCGACAAATTTTCGTCCGTCGCTAGACCTGTACACTAACAATGTTCTCTATAGTGTTGGTATATAGGGTGTTTCTGAAATAAGTGCGTTCCTTGAAGTGCGTTTTCGTAAAAATTAATTAAGAAAAATAACCATAAATGTAAGCCGACCCTGTGCATCTTGTGCACGTGCGTTGTGTGTTGCAGTATTACTAGCGACATTGACCGAGAAGTGGGCGTATCTAACAGTACCATCTAGCGTGTACTACGGGAAGAATTATTACAGCCCTCACATGTACAAAGGGTTCAGGCATTAAATAACAGTGATTTTCAGCCCCGTGTGGAATTTTGCCGATGGTTTCGACATCAAATAGCGCAAGATCGGGATTTTACAAGCAATGTGCTTTTTAGGGATGAATGTTGTACTAGACACGGCATACTAAATTTTCACAACATTTACTATTGAGGTGATGCAAAAACAACGGTAGATGTAGTGGGTTATCTTTTTATTCCTAACCTTACATTGTCTTTTCAACATCCAACAGCAGTCCGCCATTATGTTCACATCCCACTTACCCTGATACCTATTTTCCATTTCCTTTACATCTTGGTGATATCTTCGCCTTGTTCTTCGCTATACTCACCTAAGTTATCTGGGAAACAATCCGCGTAAGGGCCCATAAAATACAATTTTTTACTAATAGAGATTCTTCTCATCTATATTGTCCCATACTCACAGAAAGCAGGGATACTTACCAGGTCTTGATTGGTGTCCCTAGATAATAAAAATGATTTTGAATTATTGTCAAATTCGCCACTTGTGCTCTGGAAGGTAGAAATAGACAGAGAAATCCACCAAGTGCATAAATCTTTTGAAAAGAGTTCGCCAGAAATGAAAACGTTAATAAAAAAAACTACTGAATATTTTTACCCCAAATCGCATACCTCCCTGGTATATTCGTGAAACACCTATTTTATAAATTAAGTAGAGGTTTTCTAGAAAATAGTACTTTACGACCCCATTAATGGTTTTAGCAAAAAAATTACCTATCCATGAACATAACCTCAAATATGTCAAAAAATCGCGATTTTGACACTTTTAGGTTAGGATATCTCGAAAACCAGAGCCAATGAGAAATTTGGACTTAGGATTCAGCGCACCAAAATCCTTCGGAAAAGTATATTCTGATTTCTGTGTTAGAGTCACCAAATTTTATCGGCCTTTAAAACATTTCTATATGATTATTTTATTGCTCTTTTTCGGTTGTAGATGTCTCGGGCATCCTAAAGAGTCTACTGGACGTCCAAAAAGAAAACCTAGAAATCGAGAAGCAGAGGCTGGAACTGGAAAAGCAGAAACTGGAGTTTGAGAGGCTGGTGGGAACGCAGCTGTTGACGCTGCTGCCAATGTTCGGCGGTCTACTGCAAAGGCTCGCCTTTCCCAACCACGCCGAAGGGCATTCCAGTGACACCGACACTCCTTCCAAGAAGAACGGTAAGAAGAGGCCGTGCCCGGACAGTGGCTTCGACATTTTAAAGGACAGTAAAATTTTAAGGAACGTGCTAGAACAGGGTATCAAGAAATACATGTTGGGGGAGAGCGGCAACGACAGTGGTAAAGAGGACAGGGGTGTGAACGAAGACAGTAATTCGAGTAGCAAATAAGGTCTTTTTGATTTGTGATGTGGAGGTTGTGTTTTACTTTTTGCATTCCGCTTCGAGTTTTAGAAATGTGATGTTTAGTTAAGGATATTTATTTATTTATTTTTTGTATTATAGCGAAGAAGTTGACATGTTTCACAATAAAGAAGTCAGATTTTTGTATTTTATTTGTATTTGTGAAAAAGAGACGGCAAAATAATTTGAATATTCATTTTATGCATATACGTAACAAAACACAGCCGCGCAAGAAAAAAAGTTGTCTGTACTTTTCATGTGACATATGTTAGAATTGAGTTATCACATCAAAGGAATTTCCTAACCTCAAAAAAACAGGTCAAAAATAGCAAAAATTCACTAGAGTACTACAGGAAAATTAAAAAAAAAATTGTCTATATTCAAATGTTCATTTATATGGTTAAGACCCCGCCGAACGTGAATACGTGGTCAGAATTGATGGTTCTTTTTCTAACCTCAAAAAAACGGGTCAATTAAGGTCAATATCACGAATTTTCGAAAAATAACAGATTCTTGCCAAATTTGGTATACGGGGATTTTCGGGCTCGCTAATCACGGATCCGAGGTCAATTTTACAAAATTCAAGATGGCGGATCCAAGATGGCCGGCCAAATTTTCAAAAAATAATATTAGCGCCATTCACGTTCGGCGAGGTTTTAACCATATAAATAAACATTTAAATATAGAAAAAAAAAATTTGTATTTTTCCTAGCACGTTTTCGTGAATTTTCGCTATTTTTTACCTGTTTTTTGAGGTTAGGATATTCCTGTGATGTAGCTCAATTCTGACACCGGATCGTGATCAGAAAGCAAAAATACTACGGATAACATAGGTTGCATGAAAAGTACAGACAACTTTTTTTTGTGTAGCTGTTCATTACACTAGACAAAAATGACAAATTAAAATAAATCCTAACGAATAAATGACCAAAAACATGGTATAAAAATAATTGTTCCAATAAAACTTTTGCATATGTACGTACTAATCTTTTTTACTTTCATAACAAAAATCTCATAAATATTATGTTAAATTCAAATTAAAAAAACAAATTCATGTTTATTTTTTTTTTTTTAATAACGTGCGTTGTAGCAACCGTGTTTTGCTCGAAATTGCAATAAGTTCTTTTGTTATACACAGTACGCACCTACTTATAGTCAATCAGCCCTATGCTGTATGAACATTCAGCCCTATGCTGTAAAAACATTGAAATTAATATCAACCTTGAAGTGATTTCAATGAAAATTGATTTGTTTTTCAATTTTGGAGAATATTGGTATGCACTAAGAACACTTGTTTACAATACCTTGACATTAAAATTGATTGAAATTTATTTCAAGTTTATTTGTGGCAACGTCGCTATTTGCTATAGGGAGATACCGGTAATTATGGAAACAATCTATATGAACAGAAACGGTGACATCAGTCAAATATTTTATCTATATCTATATTCTTAATCAGCAGTTTTGTTATTCTGAATTTATAAATTGCATATAAACGGTAAATATCACAACATAAAATTATCAAAACTATTTTTAGACTTATTTGTTACTTTTAAATATATCCCATCAAAAAAAGCCACCCGTTCGCAATATACAAAATTTTTGGAAATAATTATTGATCAGACGGATATAATAAAATGATAAGAGGAGAAAGCCTGGGAACGTATTTCTCAAGAGGTGAATGCAATGAGAGGAGCAGTAAAAATGCAGAAGGATCGAAAAAGGTAAGGGAACTTAAAAATAAGTAAGTACTAAGCTTATGTGAATTTACCAGTCAACAAAATATTTTACTTGTGAACATACTTATCAGTTATTGCTCTTTTTATAAATCGTATTATAAGTATTTACCTACACTAAAAAAATACAAAATGACAGCATGTATTTATAAAATGTAATAGATACCAAATTGCAACTTTTAAATAAAATTACTAAGTATATTTTAAATTACAGGCATTTATAGAATGGATACCCCATATACCAGGAAAAATAAGAGGTGAACAGCCTCTTACCGACATAGAAGAAAAATATGCAAACATTACTGGATTGTTTGCCTCGTGTTCAGGTGTAAATATTCCAGAGTTGGGTTTTGGAAAAAGAACCAAAGTAAAAGCTAAAGCTAGGAAAATTCACTTAATAATAAGAATAATTAAGTTGAGGTGGCATTGCTGTAATTGAAATTTTAACAAATCTAGAAAAAAAA